CCTCCGAGCCCACTGACGCCCGAGATACAGCAACGGCTTCTGCCACACCTCAACACTGCCTCCCACCTCCTCAGCGAGTGGTCTGCTCCCTCAAGGGGTTGGCTCCCAGTGTAATTACTGCAATTATCAAGTTGGACTCATTCCTGGTTTCGCCTAGGCCTCTTTCCCCCACCTTAATTTAAATATTTGCATTTTATTGTAACCCAAGCCCTGTGAATCCTTCCCAAAGCTGAGTAACATACATTTTTGTTGGGAACTGGTCCAGGTCCTTAAACACACTAGGCCTTTCCAGTACTAGTTTCTGTTGTCCAGGGAGGAACTGAGGCTGGGAGGTTAACAAAGGATCCAGCCCAGGGTAGCTGCTGACTGACTCCACCTTCTGACGTTGTCTTCAGGCCGGAGACCATCACTGCTGGGAGGCAGCAGAGGGTCAGATTTGTGCCTGGCCTGAGGTTTCCCACAGATGCCTGTGGCTCTGCCCCCCTGCTCTGTGGGGTGGTGGGAACCCTGGTCATACGGGGAAAGGGGAAGAGGAGAAGGTGTGGGCGGGGGAGGTCTCATCAGCACGCCATCAGCTGGCAAGACCTCCCGGGATGAGGGCTGGTTTCAGCATCTTTCTGGGAAAACCACCCTTCAGTGCGGGTCCTGAGCATCCCTGGTACATCATACATTTTCGTCATTCTTCTTAAAGCTGCTGCTGTGTTGGCTCCCATTCCTGTTGGGAGCCTCGCTTCTGGTCCCGCGAGAACTGGGAAGAGGCCCGAGTGACGTTGCCCCGTGAGGTTACCGGGCATCTGACCTGGGCTTTTGAGGGAGCGGGACTCCACATGGCGGGGAGTGGGAGGGGAGAAAGACCGTTCTAGACACACCGTGTCCCAGGGTCTTGCTTTAAAGTCAGCACCGAGCCTCTACCCCACGCCAACCTGCCCAACCAACTCGCTTAGCAGCAGGTCTACCAGGTCCCATCACGCCACTCTGACCCACCTTCATTAACCACAGTTAGTTTGGGTTGGGGGTTTGCTGTTTTGCTTATTTTGAAAGGGTTTTTGAGATAACCCAGGCTGGCTTCAAACTGTGTAGCTGCAGGTAGCCTCAAACCCCTATTACCGTGCCTCTGCCTCCGTAGTGCTGTAATTAGAGGCTTGGGCCACGCTCAGGGTCGGGTGTTCACCCCATCCTACCTTAGGTTCTGGGAAGAAGTCCCGCTTCAGGGGGTGTGGAGAGCTGGAATGTTTGCAGGTCCAGACCCAGATCTTGGGCCACTTTAGCCCCGTACACGGCCACGTGTTGCCCATTTCTGTGTGCGTGGGGGCCTATTGTTGTGAACAAATCTCTAGCTCCTTCCACCCCCAATGCTGAGACCCTCAGCAGATGGCATCTGAGGGTCCCCTGCCACACCCGCCCAGCAGGTGTTCCCACCTAGTAGGAAGGAGTGTACGTTTATGACTTTCTTTGTTCTGTTACTATAAAAACTCCATGGAACATGGTGTTTGGGGCTCCAGAATAAACATCTCTCGTCCCCCGCTTTCGAAGCAAAAGCTGTTTTAGCTTCAGCACCCACTGTGGGGAACAGAAGGGCACCTGGGCTGTCCTGGGAGGGGAGCGAGCAGGGACAAGCCAGCTGTGCCTGGGTTGCTCTGTAATAAAATGCTGCCTTTGACGCCTCCCCGTGCCCGGCTCGCGGCGCTCCGGCGCCCCCGTGCGGCCGCTCTCTGCCATTGCCGTGAGGCCGCTGCAGCACTTGGGTGAACCTGTTTAAACCCTAACGTTCACAGAGGTGCTGGAGCAAGGCCGCTTGAAGCAGCCCCAACAAAGAGCTTCCTCTCTGGTCCGACACACGGTTCAAATGCCGGCTTGTTGTCGGCTCTTCAGGGGCAGGATGCAAATGTTGGCTGTGCAAGATCAAGGGCTCTCCGACGGTTAAAGGGTTAATGTCAGCGCTTCAAAAGGCACCAGCTGGTGGTGGGTCCATTGACTGAATTAATGAGGAAGGGTGGAGTCTGAGGCAACCACGTCTAGCTGACTCCAGACTTCAAAAGGAAGTAGGAAAGGTCCGTCTTATTTTATTATTTATTTTTATGTGCCGTGGTGTTTTACCTAGAAATATCTATGTCTGTGTGGAGGTGGTGTTGGATCCCCTGGAGCTGGAGTTACAGTTGTGTGTGACAATGTTGGTGCTGGGAATTGAACCTGGGTCTTTGAGCAGTCAGTGCTATTAACCTCTGGACCATCTCTTGAGCACCCCAAAGGCTGATTTTTATGGGTGACCGAGCAGTGTGGAAGGTCTTGGGCCTATGGTTACTTAATAGTTCTTTGAATTGGTGTTCTGTCAGAAAACCAAACATGGGAACTGGTAGGGATGGGGAGAGCCTGCAGCCTCACACAGCCCTCCTTCCTGCCACTTCCTGTTGGGACCATTTGGAGTCCTGGCCTCCAGCTGCTCTTCCCTGCTAGAGATCTTTACTTTCCTTCTGATTTGAGTTACTGAAAGCTGTGTCAAAGTTGTTTACCAGCTCTGCTTCACGAGCACGTGTTGCCTTGGCCTTGAGGATCAGAGGATGAGGTTTTCACCTGTTGGCCCACCTGACTGTTGGGTATATATGCCTCCTTGGTGCTATTGAATAAGGGTCTTTTTACCAGTGACTAGAGGTCCGTGTCTCTGTCTCTCTGTCTGTGTGTCTTTGTGCGTTTTGATCTCCAGCCTTTCCCGAAGCTTGCGAACTGTCTGGTAGCACATAGAGTGCAGACAGGCGTCGTGCGCTGCAACTTCCCAGGCTGCTCAGAGCTTCCACAGCCCCCTCTGCCCATCCCCTCTCAGCAGGGGCCTGGGCACAGGTGTGAAGGGGCCAGTGAGTCCATGGACCACTTGCTCTGTCCTCTGCCCCATGCTTGATTAGACCTGCTGGAGGGTGGGAGCCTTGGCGAGGGGCATCCCGCATAGAAGAAGCTCATCTAGGAGAGGTGAATATGCCTTGTCTGGGGCAGCGGGCCTGTGGAAAGCAGGGTACCTCGCTAGGCTTGAGACCTGGCATTGCGTTACACAGGGCTGGAGAGGGGAGCAAGACCGGGGCACAGGTGCTGGGCACCTGCTGAAGGCTGAGCGCAGTCCCTTCTGGCTTGGGTTGGGGCTCTCCAGGTGTGAGCTGTGCAGTTCACGTGCACAGGCTAAAGCTCTGGCATTTCCACCTAAAACTGGCATTGCAGAGTGAAGACCATAAAACTCGTGTTAATAATTTCCCAGTGTTTCTTAGAACACTCAATAGCAAGTAACACATTAATCGGGGAAACTGTAGAGAAAAGTGAACCTGCCCTCCGACCGTGCTGGCAGGGAGCGAGACTCGACACAACTCTGGAGGGCGCGTGGGATTAATCTCTGTGTCTGGCCAACAGTGCCATTTGTGTGAGAGCTGCACTCACTGCCTGTGTGCTTGCTACCTCTGTACATCTGAAGGAGCTCGCTCTTCTGAGCCTTCCGCAGCCTGGTCTATACTAGACTCACACAGTCAGCAACACCAGGAAAATGTTACATAAAAATATGACGGGCAGAGGAAAGCTAACTGCTTCATGCTCAAGGAAAAGCTGGACCAGGAGAGGGCTTGTGCACAAGATGCTTCCTGCATAAGCCTGAGGGCCAGAGTTCAGATCCTCAGAACCCATGGGGAAACTGCTCATAATCGCAGCAGGGAGGTGGATGGGGTCACTGTGGCAGGCTGACTCACGGACTAGCTGGACTAGTGAGCTCTGGCTCAGGGAGGACACTCCCTTCAATGAAGTGAAAATCGAGAAAGACACCCAACATCAACTTCGTGCCTCCACACAGGCACGTGTCTACACACACGCATGCATGCAAACACACACACACAATGTCACTAAACAAACCCATCAAAAAACAAATTAAATCCTCTGTGAGGGTGGTGGTGCATTCCAGCCCATCCCAGCTTCCTACTCAGTCAGCAGCATCACCGGACCCTAGCAACGGACACGAGCACCCTCTCCTCAGTACGACTTTCAGAAGTGTCCAAACATGACCCGGTGTTTCCCAGAGAGCAGACTTGCTCGGGTCCACACTGCTGGCCTGTGTGACCAATGAGAGGGTGCATTCTACCACAGCTTACCAACAGAACACAACTCCCTGGGCATCGCCCACTTTTCTTCCATTCAGAGACCAAGAAACAAAAAAGACATGACTGTAGGAAACTGATTTACACCGTGGGAAAACGGGAGATAACAGCAGAATAAAAATAAACACAAGATCTGGGCTACGGAGACAACGGCTCGGTCGGAAAGGTGCTTGCTGTGGAGGAACTAAGTTTAGGCCTGCACCACAGAAAACGTTAGATGCGGTAAAATGTGCTTGTAATCTCTACACTAGGGAGGTGGAGACAAGAGTGAGCCCCGGGGACGTGGAAAATAGCAAGTCTGAAAAAACCTGGTGAGGTCCACACCAGGGAGGGACAGTTTCTGAACAATGCCACCCGAGGTTGCCCTCCAGGCTCCACAGGCACCTACACACAGCATGTGTACACACGCAGAACACAAACATCACAATGACGAATTTCCATAAAATAGATTTTACTGTACTGGAAATGTTATAAATAAGATGACTGGTTATTCATAAACAGTTGTATCCAGTCAAGTTTTCTACAGTTCAGGAACATTTAAAACCTCACACTTATTCTGCACTTGCTACACCAATGCCATTATAGCCCAAAGGAGAAAAAAGAAAAAGTAGGAAAAACCACCACTGAGTTTCTAGTCCCACCTGGCAGACAGAGCAGACAGACAAGATGCTCCCCATATTTTAACATGACAAGCTGCCACCAAAGACCTAGCTTCCGAGAGCCAAAGGCTTTGCGTTCGCAGCTGCAAGAGATCCCTGGCACTGCTTCTGCAGCTCCAAGTGCCAAACAGGAGAGAACTTACACAGCATTAGAACAGTCAACCGTGCAAGTTACACACCCAGGCAAGTTTTATAGGTCTAGGAAATAAAGGACACAGAATTTTAAAATGCAAGAAGTCTGGGTATTTAATCATGAGACGAACCGCATTAAAATGCTGGGCTGTTGGGTCGATGGCTGGGTCTCCGGTCTCTCCCTAAAATATCCCATACTAAAAAGGCCTCCCCTGCCTCCCTGACCTCTAGAGCGTGACCCTAAGAGGGAAGAGTCACAGCGGCAACTGCAGTGAAGGCAGGAATCACCAACACCCGACCACCACTAGGCAGCTGATGACAGTAAGAGGCCAGACCATGTTCCTCATCATGGTTGCGGACAGCAGGTGCTGGGCACACCGCTCCTGCTGCACAGATTTTCAGTGTAAACCTAAGCGTGACAGATACAGGCACACCACTCAGCCATGTAAACTGCTCAGTAGGCCTGCAGGTTTGTATTCCTTCCCTAACATCATCTTCCAAATCTGCACTGTCCCATCTCATATTCCCAGTAGTAATGGCACACAGGATAAAGGCCTGGCCAGCAAAGGCACCGTGTTTTCTACACAGGGATATTAGGGGGAAAAGGGAGACACGTCCATCTTGTAGCCCTGCTGCTGAGACAGAGCACAGACAATCCCAGCATCACACTCACTGTGCACAAAGGCCAAGCTCAGAACCAGACACACAAACTACAGCAGCGAGGACCAATCTCCAGTGGGCTGGCAGCGTCAATACTGCCCAGCTCCACCCTGCTGGTCTAGCGCATGCCCAGGATCTGCCTGCTCTTTAGCTGGTAGTTTTTTTCTATATCCGACAGGGCTTGGGCCCGCAGCTGGGCAGCATGAAGCCTCTTCTTCAGGTCCTTGCACTTGGACTTGGCAAGCTGGCTCTCGGCATCCTCGCTCCTTGAGGCATTCTCTTTGCTCTCCCCACGGAAATGAACCTTCTTCCTCACTGCTGACGATGGAAGGTCAAGTTCTTCAGAAAGAAAAAGAAAGGGGTCTGTGTTAGCAGAGAACCGCCATACAGGTCAGACATTGCTGACACCTGTGTGAAGCTGTCTGGGACAAGTAGTTAGGAGCATTTTAAAACAGTTGGCTTTATGATTTCTAAATTGTGTGTGGGTATAAGCATGTGAATGCAAATGCCCTCAAGTCCAGAGGAGGGCACGGTACTGGGTCCCCTGGAGCTGGAGTCACAGGTGGAGTCAGCTGACGTGGATGCTGGGAGCTGAGCTCAGGTCCTCTATGGAGCAGTACGTGCTCTTAACTGAATCGTCTCTTTAGCCCCAGCTTTTTCTTTTGTCTGTCTGAGCTGTGATGCTCCTGCCTCTGCTCCCCTCATTGCTGAGTCTATAGGTTACACACCATGCCCCAAAACACACCAAATAATAAAGGAAAAATGCTTCGATCTCTGACGAATCAACTTTTCTCTTAGGGTTCAACGCACTGGGGGTGAGGGAAATCAGTGTTTACTCTGTTCCTGAGAACCTACGACAGGACACACCACGGCACAGAAGCTTTCTCACAGAGCACACCTCCAACATCCAAACAGCTCAGGCACCAGAATGTGTTTCTAAGCAACTGCAGAGTGAGCCGGAGTGGATGGGTGATGTCCCTCTCGCTCGTACTGATAACCCCGCTGACATCCAGTGACACCCCTAACCACAGAGGGAGGTTCCCCTGGCGTATCTAAAGGAAATACGCTTACAGACTTACTGGGTTTATACCAGGGCCACTGTGAGTGAACAAAGGCCCTGTGCTACAGGGGATGACAGGCCATGAACAGTGCAGACCAAGTAGTCTAAGTGACACGCTTACAGGGAGAAGGCACAGAAGCGCAGACAGCCAGCTGTGCGTGCTCGTGAGGAGAGGAGGGAGCCCTGGAGACCAAGTGTGAGCTGAGCCCGAAGGAAGACAAAGGGAAATAGCTCGAGGGAGAGGCAGGAGGCTGACTCCCGGAAGGGCCCTCAGTTCCTCCATCACTGCACTTCGAAGCACAAGCTGTTGCCAGGGACCTTACCACCATCGTGGAAGGTGCAGCTGCCTCCTGCCACCACAAACACGGCATTCTCCTAACGAGACGGTCCCGAGGAAGCGTCTAGGCAAACAGCATCGCATCCAATAGCAGGAGTGCTTTAGTGAGTAGACAGAGGGGGCTTTCGAGATGCGGCTGCCCACTGGCCGCGCTTAGTGTAGCTTTACAGCCCCACTGTGTAAAAGGACATCTCATGACTCCATCGTCCCGGGCCTGAGCTGGCACCTGCTTCCCTCCGCTCTGACACACTCAGGTGAGCTGCAGTGGGCTCTGTAGCTTGCTCTAAACACCACGACCCACACTGGTGTCGTTACACACCCATCTGTGCGGCCCTAAGGTGGAGCCCAGCACCTCACCCAGCTATTACCTTTGCTCCAACACACCCTACGTGAAGCGCAGTCCCAGAGGTTTCGGTAATTATCCGAGTGGGAACGAGGAGTGCACATGTTTCTTTTCTCCTCAGTTTATCAACCTAACCCTGGTTTAAATCTGTCCTGTCTTTATGGATGGCAGTGTGCTCTCTAAAAGTTGCTGAGATTAACCAGGTGTGGTGTTGCACATGGACAGGTAGACAGCTAGAGGCCAGCGAAGCCTCCATGGCAGGTTCTATAAAGTGAGACCCTGTGTCTCCAAGAAACGAAACAAAAAACTCAAAGGTTTTAACAAAGATCCAAAGTGCACTCTGTGGTTGGCTTTTTTTTTTTTCTTTTGAGACAGGGTCTTGTTCTGTAGCGATGGCTAGCCTAGAACTTGCTATGTAGACCAGGCTAGCCTAGAACTTGCTATGTAGACCAGGCGAGCCTAGAACTTGCTATGTAGACCAGGCTAGCCTCACACTCAGTTATCTGCTCACCTCTGTCCCGAGTGCTGGGATTATAAGTGTGCAAGTCAGGGGCCAAGATTTGGGGGTCAGCGCCCCCTTCTACGAGGGTCCTAGAGATGAAACTCAGATACCAGGTTAGGACAGGCACCTTCACTCACTGGGTCATCTTGGAAACCCAAGCCCTATTTTCTGTTTATTTTGTAAATTATGTGCATGTGTGAGTGTTGGGGGAAAGAGGGGTTACGGGCACATGAGTATGGGACCTGCGGAAGCCAGAAAAGGACCTCAGTCCCCCGGAGCTGGGGTTCCAGGCAGGTGGGCTGGCTATGGGTGGGACCCAGACTCAAGTCCGCAGGGAAAATGGTGTAGAGGTCTGAGTAAGAACTGACTCCACAGGCTCAGATATCTGAATGCTTAGCTGTCAGGGAGCAGGGATACTTGAGAAGGACTGGGAGGTGTGGCCTTGCTAGAGGAGATTCAACTGTCACTGTAGGTGGGCTTTAGGGTTTCAAAAGTCCATGCAGACCCAGACTAAAGATGTGAGCTCTCAGCTCCTTCTCCAGTGCTGCGCCTGCGGCCATGCGCCCGCCTCTGAAGCTGAAGTCAGCCCCAGCTCAGCTGTCCCTGAATGGTGTCTCTCACAGCAGCAGCAAGTGACTAGGACAGGCAGCAGGCGTGCTCTTACCTCTCTGGCCCCCTCCCCCTTTCTCTTGCTATGCAGAACAGGATGGTCTCAAACCCCCAGCTTCTGTCTTCCAATGCTAAGGTTACAGATTTTCCCCACCATGACTGCTAAGCCACGCCTTCTAAGATGACCGGAGTGTGGCAGTTTTAAAATACGAGGGCTTTTGCTTAGAAATGAAGAGAAATACAGTTTTCATAACACAACCAAAAAAAAAATAATATCCAGGCAGGCAGTGGTGGCGCATCCCTTTAATCCCAGCACTCAGAAGGCAGAGGCAAGAGGATCCCTGTGAGTTCGAGGTCAGCCTGGTTTGCAGAGTAAGTTACAGGACAGGCCCCAAAGCTACACAGAGAAACTCTGTCTTAAAAAATCAAAAAACAGGGGCTGGAGAGATGGCTCAGTGGTTAAGAGCATTGCCTGCTCTTCCAAAGGTCCTGAGTTCAATTCCCGGCAACCACATGGTGGCTCACAACCATCTGGAATGAGGTCTGGTGCCCTCTTCTGGCCTGCAGACATACAGACAGAATATTGTATACATAATAAATAATAAATAAATATTTAAAAAAAAATATTAAAAAAAAGACAAAACAAAAAAGAAAAAGAAAAAAATTGAAATATATAATTTTGAAAATGTTTCAATTTCAAAAATTAAATACTGAAGTCTGAACCATGTCGTGTGATAGAGTGAGTGAGGAGGAGACCAAACTGCGACTCCCGCCTTGGGTCTCTCACCCAGGACACCAGCAGACTCTCATGGCCACTCAGTGACGTCACCTGAGATCTCAGCCTGCGAGACTAAAGCACCATGAACGCCTCTGCCGGCCATGCCAGGTGCGCGTGTCCACGCGGGCCAGTGTGTGTGTAGCTGACGGACATACCTGAGGCACTGGCCTGGGACAGGAACCTCTGCTCCTTCAGCAAGCTGTAGCTCTTCAGCAGACTCTCGGCTCGGGCCAGCTTGTCCTCTGCCAGTCTCTCTCGAATACAAAGCTCACGCTCCTTCTCTTTAAAAAAGGGAAGGAGAAAAAAGAAACAAGTAAGGGGCTCTGGCCATCAAACCGCTTACGTGTGTCTGGCAGGCTCCCCACCCCCCTGGCTGGGCTCCAGGGACGGTTCTCAGTCTCCGAATGCCGCAACACTTTCCCCAGGTCCTCATGCTGTGGTGACCCCAACCATAAAATTACTTTTGCTGCTACTTCATAACTGTAATTTTGCTACTGTTATAAATCATAATGTAAATATCTGGTATGCAGGATGGGCTTTCATTGCTACAAACTGAACATAACTAAAGCATAGTGACTAATCACAAAACAATATGTAATTATGTATTGTGAAATTGTTCTAATTACAAAAATCTGAAATCTTTGTCTGAGTGGCCCTGCACAGAAACTCTCATTGCAACTTTTGATCGGTTCATTGTCTTGTTCCTCAAGAAAGCAAATAAAAAGGTAACATGTGAGTTCTATCTTCATCCAGTTTGCTTCTGTTTTCGCCACAGCTCAAGTGTGATTTGGACTGGTCTGGTCTTTTCGGACAAATTGAGGCATAGTGCGTTTGGTCCTTGCCGTATAAATTCAACTCATTCAAGATGGCAAAGATGTCAACCAAATAAATTCTTTTCTGCAATTCACTTTTTATCACTGAAGAGAGCTTTGAACCACAGCCTTGCTTTCTGATTAAAAACATCTGAGTTCATCACGAATTTCAAAAGCACATTTTAAAGCTTTTCCTCTCGACACCATCTCTCTTCAGTGTGAACAGCGGAGCTTTGTGCACAACTGGCAGCACAGCCGAGAACCGCCAGCGTTTACAGCGCTCGCCTCTACGAGACTGGCAGAATTCATGCTTCCCACGGCTTCTCGAAACTCTTGCAGCATTGTCTTCATTGCTGATATTCGCCAATGAATCACACGTGGGTTCAAATGACTTTGGTGACTCTCAGTACCAAACGCTGGAGCCCACAGCTGAAGCACCATCTGTGCCAACACCACAACCTTTCCCAAGAGCTCCTCTACTCTTTTAGAAATGAACCGTCAGATATGTCAGGTGCAATCGTTGTTTCAAGGTGTTTACAAAAGAGAAACTCATCTTTAAAGTCAACACCATTAACATATCTCACGGAAACCAGTACTGAAGAGTTTGCAACGTCTGCAGATTCATCCAACTGGATACTAAATATTGGAAGTGGAGCAGATTTAATTCCCTGGATTACCCAACAAGAGCACCAGCAGACGTGGCGCCTACTACGTGGACAGTGTTGTTAGAAAAGGAAACTGCATTCACTGTGTAACAAATTCATCTCCGATCAGAACTCAGAACACTGTCTCTGGCCGCTGGCGACAGCAGATCCTCAGCAATGGTCTGAGGTTTCTGGCCTGACGACTCTGAGCACCTCCATACAGGATGCTTCAGCGGCTGCCGTCTTGTTTGTGGAATTTGCCACCAGTGTCAAATCTGGCTCTCTTGAGTCCGTCAGCTTTGGTGTCCTTGCCAGCAAAGCGTGGATGCTGTTATCAGTTATCAGCAGGGCATTCCAGTGTCTTCAGCTTCTGCTGACGGAATGTCACAACAGAAAACATGCCGCCAGCTCTCAGTTCCTGCTGTAATTATTGAGGTAAAACCATCCTGTAAAAAATCCTCACTATGTTTTCTTAATGTTCCTCTCTACACGACCCATTGCCATGGGATGGTTTTCTAATGAGAATAACATATAACCAAAGCTTTACTGATACAAAAGAGGATGTACGGCATACTTCAGTCAATACAGTTCATCCAAGTTGCCTGTGTTTTACCCGTGTTGATTTTTCACATACCAGTTACTAACACAAGGGGGCACTATTCACACCACATCTGAATATAAGACTTCGCAGCATCCACACTGAGTTCCCATGGTCTGTTCCGGTTGTTGATAACTTTAGAGCACATGATTTTACGTCTACTAGTAATTATAGCTTATAAAGCATCGTGTTATCTCAAATACTGATGTTTCTAACGCAGCTGCTCTCTCTCTGTCTGTCTGACAGGTCCGCAGACACACATCAGGCACCAGCCCTGCCACATACCATACACCTGTCTTGGTTCCAGATTTATGTGACAATGATTTCATCATGCCGGGTACTTGTAGTGGGTGTATCTGCATGTGGGCAGACCTGCCTGGAGATAGGCAGAGGAGGTCCCTAAGAGCGTTGAAAGCCAGTATTTTCTAATGGTCTTGGGTCCTATGAAAAGGTCGTTGGACACCGACCCCCAAGAGGGTTGTGACCCACTGGTTGAGAACTACTACTCAAAAGAAAAGGCTGGGATGTGATTTGGCGGTATTCAGTCGCTAGCACCCTGTCCCACCACCAGACAGAAACAAAGTTCCTATCAAAGAGGCCCGCACATCCAATCTCCTCTGTTGGGACCCCAGCGGCACCTCCCCCATGGCATGGGCAGCTAGCTCCCTTGGCCCTGAGCACCACTCACGCTCCAGACTGTCCTCTCGGGCTCTGAGCGCTCGCTCTCGCTCCTGCAGCTGCTTTTCCTTCAACCTGAGCTCACTCAGCACAGGGCTGGAGGCCTGCAGCTTCGAAGGCTCGCCTAAGCGCTGTCCTCTCCTCTCCAGATGCTTCCTCTGCTCCTCCGCAACCAAGTCTGCTATCAAAGGGCTCTCCAGAATTTCTTCCACTGAAGGTCGGTGGTAATCCTGGAGAAACAGTGTGGCAGGCAGATCATGGAACAGTCATCAAGAAAAGCAGTTACGTCAGGAGGATAAACAAGACAAAAGACAGTTCCTGTATCTAGAAACATCTGGAAAAACAAGTTCACTGGTCACAAGGTGACACAGGTTTAACTCACCTCACCCCACCCCTCCAGGAGGCTCAGGCCCTACAGGACTGAACATACTACACATACACTGGGTACCACTGGGGTCTGCTCAGGGGAGGCGGGACCTTTGTTTCTCTAAATACCGTTAAAGAGGACGTTCTCACCAGCCTTCAATTTCTCTCTCTCTCTCTCTCTCTCTCTCTCTCTCTCTCTCTCTCTCTCTCTGTCTCGCGCGCGCACACACGAGCACGTACACACACACTGTATGCTTTGGAACCCCACAGCACCCCCTTCCACTTCTTCCTCTGCTCACAACAGAATATCTGCCTCTCATCCCATGGGCCAGAAAACCTGTTGTCAGGGTATTTTCCTTCTGCTCTGTCCCCTTCTCCCTTGTTCTGGCCTCTAGTCCCTGAGACAGAGAGTAAACAGGCCCTTATCTACCACTGTACTCTGAGTTCTGCCTTTTTTCAATCTTTCCATGCCATTAACCATCAGCTACTGTGGACAAGGTGGCAAGGAAAACAGCAAGTGAGGCACAAGGGTTGATCAGGATGTGTTCCGCACCTGTGAACTTTCACCTCCGCTGAGCACTGAGCCGGGAAGGCTGATGACCAGTCTATGGCAAACCCAAAGTTTACCCAGGAGACTGAAACAGACAACGCACACATAGCCTCGCAACCGTTACCTTTAAATTCAGCATCTGAGTGATGATGTCATTCAGCCCATCAGAGTAGCGGTAGGGGATCCGCCTGAATCTCCCCTCTCTGATTTTCCCAGCTAACTCTTTCTGATTGAAAGCTGTGAATGGAGGCCTGGGATTTAAAAATAAATAAGAAGGAAAAGAGGAGAAGGGAGTGAAGAGGAGACAAGGGAAGGAAAGGAAATTTAAAAAATGTTAAATGAATGCAAATAAGAAAACGAGAGCCGGCTCCGCCCCGCATTCTGTCTCCAGAGCTGGGACTCTTCTGCTTAGCCGTCCCCTGGGACTCCTACATTTCGGGTGGAAGAGCTGTGACTTGGGATCCCTATACTCTGCAGTCTGCAGCACCCTGGTTTCCACCTGCTGATCCAGTGTCAGTGGGGAGCAGAATTCTCTCCTCCACCCCTGGAGAACCGTGGCTTCGTGGAACAGCTTAGCAGTGGAGGAGGAAAGTGGCTCAGAGTCCTTCCTGTTCTCCAGACCCTAGGCCTCCCTGGGACCCCTGCTGCATTCTTGCTTTGTCCCCTTGACCTATGAACTCTGCCCTGAGCTATGTATGTTTCACTGGGAAACAAAGATCCTTGACCAAAGCAGGACCCAGCCCCATGGGTTCCACAGTTAGTGGAGAAGTTGGGGAATGTCATTTTTAACTTTTAAGTTTCCAGTGACAGATGACCGCCAGTGTCGGCTTGGGCTCGGACGCCGTCTCCCCTACTCACATCAATGCACACAGCTCATACAGCAGGCAGCCCAGCGACCAGATGTCCGACTTCTCATTATAGGACAAGCGGCTCATTTGCTCCTAGAGGACAAGGTAAGGAAGATCCAATGAGTTGAGAGCTTGCTTTGTTTCAAAGTTTAAAATTTTCAATCTCAAGGCTGGGGAGGCAGCCGGGCTAACAGAGCTTGCCTAGCATGTACAACACCTGGGCGGGCTACCGAGCACAAAATCAATGACGCGTGGTGGCTCACCATAATCTCAGCACTCGGGAGGTAGAGATCTGGAGAGATTCCTCAGCAGTTAGGGACCAGCCGCTCTTAAGAGGACCCAGCTTTCATTACCAGCACACACATAACAGCTCTCTGCAATCTTTAATTCCAGTTCCAGGGGACCTAAAGCCCTTTGGTCTCCCCATATATACATATGATGTACATACATACATGCAAAGGACTTATACACATAAAAATAAAACCTTCTAGGGCTGGAGAGATGGCTCAGCGATTAATAGTATTGGCTGCTCTTCCAGAGGTCCTGAGTTCAATTCCCAGCAATGACATGGTGGCTCACAACCATCTGTAATGAGATCAGGCGCCCTCTTCTGGCCTGCAGACTCTCTGTGTACATAACGCGTACACAACGCATACAGAAACTCTCTGTATACATAATAAAAAAATTTAAATAAAACCTTCTAAAAAATTCAAAGTTATCTTTAGCTATAAAACAAGTTCTAGGGTAGTCCAGGTTGTGTGAGTTACGTCAAAACACAGCAAAGAAAGAAAACAACCAACACAAAACCCACAATAAATCAATAAACTGAAAACGAAATGGAAACTCAAACTCTGGTAATATTCACTTAAGACAGAAGAAAAAATGTTAAATTTTCTATCTGTAGCAAAAATTTTCACTATTTCATATCCAAAGGACTCAGGTAGCTTAGACTACAGGAGAGAAGATGTAGCCTCACTGTAGCCTCAGGTTTATATGAAAAAGGGGAGCGATCTTAGCTCGGCAACTCTATCATACAAAATCTCACTTTCACAAATAAAATGCTCACTGACAATTCAAAGGCAAGCGCCTGAGAGCTCTCCCCCACGGTCCTCAAGGGAAGAAAATGGCATTTTATTCTGTTTTGTTTAAGAGATAGGGGTTCCAGACTCCTCAGTTCGGACACAGGCCTCAGCCTCCAGGTAGAACCGCCTAGATATTTCATTTTAAAAGTCAGAGAAACTGGCTGATGGAATACACCCGTGATCCAGCACCTGAGCTAGAGGCCAGGGGCTCAGCAGTTCACAGTCATCCTTAAGTAACAAGTTCAAGGCCAGCCTGGGCTGCAGGAGACTGTCTCACAGATAAATCAAAACAGGGGGCTAAAGAGATGACTTACTAACTCCAGCTGCAGGATCTGATGCCCTCCTCTGGCCTCCACAGGCAACACACACACACACACACACACACACACACACACACACGCACCCACGTGCACACACGCGTGTTTTTTTTCCCCTTCAGTCCACTGCTATAAACCACAGCAGGAACTAATATTCTCCTTGGGCTGGCATCACTTCTCCCAGCTTAAGCCTCAGGGACACTGAATTCATCTAGTCACAAGGGCCGATGGGAAAAAGAGGCACAAAAGAATTGTGCAGGTATTAACTTCTGATTCCCCTTTGTAATCAGGCTTTCCGTGTGGAGTGTGACACCATGGGAGAACCTGTTCTAGACACAGTCACACACTCAGAGTTTGATGCTGTCACCGGCTCTACTAGCGTATTATATATCCAGGAAAGCCTAGACTTCTCTGTGAATTACTGGAGAAATCTCTAAGATTTTATACACAGCAATGTCCCTTATGGACTCAAGGTTGGTTGGTGTTCGTTTATTTGTTATTTGCTTTGCTTTTGTTTTTTTGAGACAGGGTCTCATTATGTAGTCTTAGCTGGCCTACAACTCCCTATGTCGACCAGGCTGGGGTTAAAGGCGTGCCCTAACCTTAATGACAGCTAAAAATGGTCATGCCCTAGCCTCAACAATTTCATCTTATGTTCTACAATCCAATCAATACTAAGAAATGAAGAATAGCTGGGCAGTGGTGGCACATGCTTTTAATCCCAGCACTCGGGGGACAGAGGAGGGTTCATCTCTGTGAGTTCAAGGCCAGCCTGATCTATACAGAGTGAGTTCCAGGACAGCCAGGGCTACACAAAGAAACCCTGTCTTAAAAAAAAAAAAGAAAAAGAAAGTAAGGGAGGGAGGGAGGAAGGAAGAAAGAAAGAAAGGAAGAATTCACACAAGAACATGCACAGAAGCTTTCTGTAAATGCAGGCAAGGAGCAGCAAGAACAGAACAGGCACAGAAACTAACACTGCAAAAACGATGCCCACGTGTGAATGCCTGAGCCTCAAACATCAAGTCACTGTGATGGGAGCCGAGCCCATGCCTTCACCTCTGCTTCCTGCTGGTGCAGTGTGACCCGCTGCCTCCAGTTCCTGCCTTTGGGGCCAGGACTCTGCACTGTTAAAAAAAACCTGGGGGGTAAGGGGTACTAGAGAGATGGCTCAGTGGTTAAGAGCATTTGTTGCTCTTGCAGAGGCCCTGGGTTTGATTTCAGCCCCCACACAGCAGCTCCCATCCATCCAAACTCCAGTTCCAAAGGATCAGTGCTGTCTTCTGAGCCCTCGGGCACCAGGCACACACAGGGCACACTTACACGTGTGCAGGCAAAACACTCATACTATAAATAAATCTTTACTCTTTTTAAAAAGCTCTAGTTGAATGCAGAGGAACTGAATGACCAGGCAGTCCCTTTGAACAAACAAATCTAGGAGGGTGAGAGAGGGAGTCATGCTCTTCCAGAGGACCGAGTTCAGTTCCCAGCATCCACGTCTGATAGCTCACAACTGCCTGGAACTCAGCTTGTGTGTGTGTGGGGGGGACAACTCCATTTCCTCTTCTAGCCTTCACCATTACCCACACACATGGCATACACCCATCACCACACATACACAACCCACACACACGTATACATAAATACTAAAAATGTTAAAACATATATATAACAGAACTTGGGTTGTAGCTCAGTGGTATAGTACTTGCCTCAAATGCCTGAAGCTGTAGGCACAAGCCCTAGTACCGAGAGGGAAAAGGAAAAAGTTAAACTGTACTGTGAATTCTGGGCTGCTGGGTTTATTAGCAACCCAAACCTCAGTTCCCTTGCATTTGATGCTTCGCCAAGATATTAAAAAGTCCCTAAACTCTGAGATACTCACAGGAGACATGTAATAAGGTGTGCCAACAAATGTTTTTGCAAAACTCGTGTCGTGGTTTAAAATTCTTGCAAGTCCAAAGTCCCCAAGCTTGACGTTGTGTTTGCTGTCCAGGAAGACGTTGGCTGGCTTCAGATCCCGGTGAAGCACAGTATGGCCACCATCGCTCCTTCTGTGACACTCTTTGAGGGCCAGGGTCAACTGAGTCATTACTCGAAGCACAAACTCTTCCTCTAAGTACTGCCTGGAGCAAAAACAATCATATGTTTCATGAATCTCAATAAGATCATGTCAAATGCAGGATAAAATATTTAAGCTTCCCAAGTCTACAAATATGGAAGAAAATTATTATTAGCTCTGAAACATGGCTATCATCTCACTAAGGATTGTCCAGTGTACTGTGTACCCAAACAAGTACAGGAACATCCTACCACATTGTTAAGGGCCCTGGCCCTGTCCCCAACACAATGTGCTTACACACCAGACCCCTTCAGCTTACAACCAAGTTACCACTGACCTTTCCTTGGTCCCCTTAGTGATGACACTGGCCAGGTCCCCTCCTTCACAGTACTCCATCACGATGTACAAGGTTGTGTTAGTTCTGTCGATGATGCGATCATAGTAACGGACGATGTTGGGATGTTTCAGCTCCCGAAGCAAGTTCACTTCAGACACAAGCATCTGCTTCTCCACCTCTGTCATGGAGCCATAGTCGAGTTCCTTCCACACCAGGATCTGAAACAACGTTTCCAAGGTATGAGCATGTATTATCCTTGGAGACAAATAACGAGATTTCCAAACTAAAAAAAAAAAAAAAAAAAAGCCACCACTATCTCACATTTCAACATATATTACAACTCAAGGTCATAATGCTGATGACTACTGTGGATTTGGATTTGGCAGGGTCTAAAAACATCTAGGAGACAAATCTGGGAAGACCCAGCCTAAATGTGGGTGGCACCAAGAAGCAGCAAGCTGGCTGAGCACACGCATTCATCTCTCCGCTCCCTGCGGGGATACACAGTGACTAGCGGCCTCGAGTTCCTGTCACCACTTGCGTTCTCAGTCGCGATGGTCAGCATTCCTTTTTTTTAATAGATGTATTTATTATGTATACAGTGTTCTATCTGCATGCGTGCCTATACGCCAGAAGAGGGCACCAGATCTCTTTATAGATGAGATGGTTGTGAACCACCGGACCTCTAGAAGAGGAGCCATCTCTCCAGGTGGCTTTTGTCAGGTCCTTCCCGTGAGTTGCCCTGCCCCTTCCCCGCTGTAAGTGCGGTTTGCTCCTCCCAAAGCGGGCAGATCCACTGTGGACCAGAGACGCCTCACCTTGCCGTCGCTCTTCCTCCGAATCTTCTGGCAGCGGCCGTAGGAGCCGGTGCCGATGCTGTGCAGCACCTCGTAGTCTTCCACCCGGGACGGCATGGCGGGTGTCCACTCCCCGGGATCCTCGCAGGACCCCGACCCACGACCCGCACAGAATTAGCCGCGCCGCCCGGAGCCCAGGCTCAGCCCGCTGCAGGTCCACGGCGCCGAGCAGCGCTGCCGCCCGGGGAACCGCGCCGATCCCCGACTCGCCAGCCGCCTGCCGAGCCCGAGAGCTACCGGCCACCGGGTCAACCGTCGCGGGCCGCGGCCTCGCCATCTATTGGTCGACGGCGAAGCTGCCTCTTAGCTCTGATTGGCTCAGAAGACACAACACTGCTAAGCATCTTGGGAAAATACGTGTCTCTAGGCAACCGCGTCGGCGTTGGTGTGGGCGTCCGGTCGCTTTACGGAGCATGCGCCCGGCGGGAAACCCCGGGGACCTCGGACCGCAAAGCACCGAGACGCAACTTCGGTGACGCCGTCCCTCCGCCGAGGTCGCCGAGGCAACGGAGGTCCCGAGAGCTCTCAGACCCAGGCTCGCCCCTCGACCTTTCCACTTTGACCCTCACCCTTTCCGGTCTGAACCCGAACCGATGTGTGTTGAGGACCCGGTAATTCTGCACACAAACTGCACACAGACCTAGAGAGCGAGAATCCCTGTTCCTGCTGGGAGTGGGGGCGCACGCAGGTGCATCTCTGTGAGTTCGAGGCCAGCCTGGTCTACAAAGTGAGTTCCAGGACAGCCAGGACTGATACATAGAGAAACCCTGCCTCGACCCCCCCACACACACACCAAAAAGAAAAAAAGATAACCAAAAGTTAGGGGTGGAGTATGGACGCATGCAGCACACACTGCTCACCACATAGCGATGGTCACATTTTACTTCTAAGACATCTGCCGGGAAAAAATGTGCTAGAAAAAAGTGTTCCCAATCAGCCTGTGGGGTACTGAAAGCAGTTTACAGTCTACTGACTTCTGCTCACCCAGCCAGTGAAACGGCCCGCTTTTGACAGAGAGGACAGCTAAAGGCCTCCGCCCAGGGCAGCTGGAGGTTAATGTGCTTTTCCAGAAAGCTAACAATCTGGTGCATAATTAGGTCATTGTTCTTAAAATATCTGGTCATGGTGCGATCGAAAGGAACCTGATGGCCTATTAATAAGAATTAGAAGCCTCCTTGTGTTAAAAATAAAGAATTTATTTCGTGCCCCGAATTTAGTATAAGCTAATTGGAACTGTCAGCCAGGAGACCGTTTGAATTAACGTTCAAGGACACCGATGCATTTTGTAAGGAGCTCCAAATGGCTGAGGTCATTTGCGTGGTGTGTGTTGTGTGTTCTCTGATGTCCATGTTGAGCTCACTGGCCAGCCTGTTCCTCACCCAGCCCGTGACCTTTCTGGACGCCATGCGCTTACTCTTTGCTCCAAACCCAGCTCACTTTCTCGGCTCCTCAACACCACCGTGGCATCTACTATTCATGTTTACTGTTGTTTGCCACTTGACAAGAGACCAGCCTTTGGGCACCCCTGCCCTGGTTTAGATTAGGTTAGCCTCTGAATGTGTTGAATTAATTGAATTGCAAAGACACCCCTAAAAGTGAGCAGCAGCTTTCCTTACACTTGAGTCCTTGCTAAATTACTTTTTTTCTTAGACTTTTTTAAAGATTTATTTATTATGTATACAGTGTTTTGCCTGCACATCTGCTTGCAGGCCAGAAGAGGGCACCAAATCTCATTACAGATGGTTGTGAGCCACCCTGGGAGTGCTGGGAATTGAACTCAGGACCTTTGGAAGAGCAGTCAGTGCTCTTAACCACTGAGCCATCTCTCCAGCCCCCACTAAATTACTTTTCAACGGCAGCAAAGAGACACCATGACCAAAACCGTAGTGATGAGGCAAGCAGGCCTGCTTTTCGTCCCACCTGGCTCCCACATGGCTAGCTTTACACCTGAATTAACAACACACAAATTGTATTCATTTAAACACTGCCTGGCCCATTAGCTCTAGCCTCCTACTGGCTAACTCTCACATCTTGATTAACCCATTTCTAATAATGTGTATCACCACTTGACTGTGGCTTACCGGCATGAGTCTAACCACCGTGTCTTGGGTAGGAGAAGCATGGTGTCTGCCTGACTCTGCTTTCTTTCTCCCAGCATTCTGTTCAGTCTACTCCACCTATCTAAATTCTGCCCTATCAAAAAGCCAAGGTAGTTTATTTAGCCAATGAAATCAACACAAAACAGAAGACACTCTTACATCCCAAAACGACTTACAAAAGAAAGCATTTAAATTGGGGGCTTGCTTACAGTTTCAGTGGGAGAGTCCCCTATCATCACGGCAGGGAGCATGTTGGCAGGCAGGCAGGGTTCACCCTGGAGCAGTAGCAGAGAGCTCACACGTTGAGTTGATAACCACTGGGCAGAGAGAGGATGGGGAGAGAGGGAGACCCCAAAGTCCACCCTCAGTGATATGCCTTCCCCAACAAGGCTGTACCTCCTAATCCTTCCCCAAACAGTTCCTACCAAGTGGGGGCCAAGCATTCAAATCTGTGAGCCCTTATCATTCAAACCACACAGTCCCACACTACATAGAAAGAGAAAGCTGGCTAAACACACACACATGCATTTATCTTTCTGTTTCTTGACTGACATGCAATGTGACCAGCTGCCTCAAGTTCCTGCTTTCCCATCCTGATGGACTTGAACTGTGAGCTGAATAAACATCTTTCCCTTAGCTGCTTTTGTCCGAGTGTTTGATCAGAGAAACAGGATGCCCTCCGTTATGTTTATTCAGAGGACACAGCCACAAGATGGAATTCCAACATTGTCACCTCTGCTCTGAGGGGCCTCATCCAAGAGGTTCGGAGACCACTGTGTATGTAAATCTACTCTAACTTGATATTTGTGATTGTTTCCCAGCTGAACCCCGAACCAGTACAAGTCCTAGAATAGACAAGGCAAAAAAATAAAAATAAATACTAATGAAGACCCAGGAAGCTTCTGATCAGGACTTCTGTGAAGATTTATACTGATTCCTGAAATATTCAACCACAAAACACCCCCAGCTCTGAGCCTGCATATCTTGGGGGAGCCGTCCCAAGGGTATGGAGAGAGGCCCTGGGCAAGCGTGTTCAGCCACCATGACCACAGTAATGGCTGTGTCGCCTCAGCATGACAAATCCTACCTCCTCCCAGCACTGTGGGAAGCTGTTGGGTTAGGGATTCCTCTCAGAGGTAGAGGTTTACCTAGCAAACCCAATTTGAGTTCAAGTCCTGAGTTCAGTCCCCAGCATTGAGGAGGGGAGGGGCAGATCAGCAGAGAACAGCTATTGTGGGGTATTTGATCACACTGTGAAGAAGTCTCTGTTTTACCTCACCTTCCTAAGGCACCTTCTGATTGGTTTCATACAGAGCTGAATGGTAGCTAGGCAGGAGAGGATAGGCAGAGAAAGAGGAACTTAGGAGGAATCAGCCAGAGTCGGTTATGAAGTACTGGGGAGAAGTAACTAGCCGTGTGGCAGAATGTAGGTTCCTACAAAGGGGTCGATTTCAGTTTTAAGAGCCAGTTGGAAACAAGTCTAAGCTAAGGCCAAGCTTTCGTACTTACTAAGAAGTCTCAGTGTCTTTATTCAGGAGCTCGTGGTCCAAAGAAAGTCCTACTGCAGAGAGACGAGCCTGGCCCTGCTCTGGGAAGCCCTCCGGCTCCTGCGGTGCTTGCCCAGTCTGCTGCTGCCGTCAGAGTCCATTAATAGCTGGTACCGTCTCAAGTGAGGGACCTCGTCTGCCTTGGGCGCACAGCGCTCTTCCTGGACGGCTCTGGGCTGCTCCTCTGTGTCATATCCACAGTCAGGCTCCTGATTTTTCTACTCTGTCTTCCTCGTCTCAACTAAAGGCAGCGTCTGTTAGCTCTGTTTTCTGAAGGATTCCCAGAACCTGAGACCCAGCAGGCTCTCCTCCAGGAGCCTCAGTGCACTGACACAGGGGGCCAGCAGAGGGCAGCAGAGAGCAGTCCGCCACGGCTGATAAGGAGCCACCTGCAGACTCCACCGGTGGCGCGGGAGGATGTGAGCTCAGACATTTTGCGAGTGAGTCTCGTCTTGGGGATTAAGTGGGGCAGCTCGAAATCTAGGATGATAGAAATGCTTTAACGTTATCAGTAAAGATCTCTACAACTTAAAACAAGGGGAGGGTTTCTTTGTTTCAGACGATAAAAGATAAAAGAAAAAAAAATGGTTGAGCCTAGAGTAGTGCTGGAGGTTGAGGACTCAAGTTCAAGGCCATCCTGGACGCCGTCACACTGTCTCGAAAATGCCAGGTAGGAGCCCAGCCCGCCTTTCACAGAGGCCTCTCCACAGCAAATGGAGACCATCACGGGAGACCACACCTGGACCTAAAAGCAGAGATGAGGGGATCACGGGGTGGCCAGCCCCAGTGCGTGCATCGATGTCACCCGTGGTTCAGGGCACAGTGACGGAGAGGGAGGGGAAAGACTGTCGGAGCCAGAATAACACCAAGACTTCGGTGAGGCCGTCTCTCCCAGAAGTGGCTGCCTGAGGAAGAAAAGCCCAATGCCAGTATCAATGGACATGTTCACATGGAAGAGGGAAATTTTCTCTGGGTACCACGTCCAGACAAAGAAGAACAGGCGATTAGTGACTGCAGTGAGGAGAATTAGCCTCTCTTAGGAATGAGACCCTTACTGGTTATCCAGTGTAGAGCGATCATCCTTGGAACCATATACACACAAACAACAGAAACAGACTCAGGAGATTATATTTATATGTATTTGTGCGTGCACATACATATACATGTATGTAACCATAGTCAAAGGAAAGGGGGGTTATCAACCTGAGATTGGAGAGCATGGGAGGGGTTTCAGGAGAGGGAGAAAGTGGTATCATTCTATTTCAATTCAAAACATATTTTTAAAAATGAAAACAAGAGTCAGGTGGTGGTGGCACACGCCTTTAGTCCCAGCACTCGGGAGGCAGAAGCAGGCAGCTTTCTGAGTTTGAGGTCAGCCTGATACACAGTGAGTTCCAGGACAGCCAGGCTTTACTGAGGAACCAAAGAAACTAAGGCCATAAAACATAATAACCTGAGGAAAGGAGCGCAGGGATCGAAGTCAATCATGTCGGTGACTGCGGTGCTGTGGACAGGACAGGATTCAGACCAGGGAGGAGGCAGGCAGCTATGGGAGAGTGAGGAAACCGGTCGGGTGGGAACCCCACATGTGCAGAGCCTCCCAGTGTTTAACAGAGTCCAGACTTGCACACGAGAATACAAATCAAGGACTTTAACACAGAGATAAACTTAGCCTTTCATACATCATACATGTTTTGTTATTTAATATAACTTTTTAAATATTTTTTAAACATCATTATCAGTTGGATAAGAACATTAAAACTAGTCACAGGAGTTAGGGCTGCTGTGGTCTGAGTGTCAGGTCTCTCCACCCCAGGTTCACACATGCTAAAACCGCCAAGAGCCTGGGCCCTGGGGGAACTGGGTCTCAGGGGCCCTGACCTTATAGTTGGGTTAGTGCCCTTATAAAAGAGAATGAAGACTTTGGCCTTGCATTCCGTGAGGGCACATTAAAGTCACCAAGGAGGGCAGGCCCTCACCTTGGTCACGATTTCTCAGTTCTGTAACAGCGAGGAATACATTCCTGTTACTGATGAATCACTAATTCAAAACAATTTGCTTTAGCAGCCAGACTGTAGTTACAACTGATGTGTTTACAGGAGTGTGTGAGCCACTGTGTGGGTGTGTTCCCCGAACCCGGTCCTCTGGAAGTACTCCTAACCTGCAAGCCGTCTCTCAGCTGGGCCTGGGGAGGCTGACGCTTTTGATGGAGCCTCACAGTGCAATCTCAGCTGCCTTTAGACAGAGCTTTCCAGGGCCAAGGCAGGAGAAAAAGCCTGAAGCCGCAGCCTGTGGCTCTAAGTCCCAGGCTGGTCCCCCAATGCTGAGGTACTGGGTGGTGTCCCTCCTTGTCATAGAAGGTGCTTACAGCGGCACAGGGTGCTGAGTGACAATACAAAACTTTGCCAGCCGAGGGCCAGGAGGAAGAAAGCTGGTTTATGTAGCTCGTGGACTTTTGGGTGAAGGGAATCCAAACAAAATCCAGCAATAAACCAATCTCCCTGTTCTGACAGTTGGTGCCAAGAGGCCAGGCATGTGTGCTCTGAGAGACCTCACCATCCTTGCTGGCCTGCGTGGGGACCCAGGGTTCTGAGCTCTTCCAGCTGCACAGACCTCAGGCTGCCGCACACCTCCGCTCCACAGCTGGACGAGACCAAAGCCAGCCACCAGGTGTTCCTCGGGCATGGCGGCTCTTATGGACGTAAGCACAGTACTGACCGGAGACCTTCCCTGCTCCTGAGCCAGAAGACCCAGCTCTTTCCTTGTGCTCAGAGTTCATTAGTGCCCTCAAGCTAACAATTTCCTCTTTCCTCTCTTTTCCAGGAGAGATCTAGAAATTCCTTGGAGGAGATCTGCCTCAAAGCCTCCAGTGAATTTGGATCCTGCCCCACCCCCGCAAAAACAAAAACAAAACCTTCATTTGCTGCACAGCATGAAAAAAAGGTAGTTTGAGCCCAGGCAGTGGTAGCGCACGCCTTTAATCCCAGCCGTAGGGAGGCAGAGGCAGACGATCTCTGTGAGTTTGAGGCCAGCCTGGTCTGCAGAGCTAGTTCCAAGACAGGCTCCAAAAGCTACAGAGAAACCCTGCCTTGAAAAACCAAACAAAAAAGATGAAGAACCTGTACAGGAAAAAGCTCTCAATCCCCTGTAATTCCAGCTCTGAGGGTTCTGTTAACTTCTTCCAAATTCTGAGGCCCCTGTGTGCACATGGTATTTACACACAGCCACACACACAGATGCACGCAAATGAACATGAAAGTAAATTTTTTTTTTTTCGAGACAGGGTTTCTTTGTGGTTTTGGAGCCTGTCCTGGAACTAGGTCTTGTAGACCAGGCTGGTCTCGAACTCACAGAGATCCGCCTGCCTCTGCCTCCCGAGTGCTGGGATTAAAGGCGTGTGCCACCATCGCCCGGCTCCTGAAAGTAAATTTTAAGAAGTAATAAATATGTAAACTAAATTCCTCACACCTTTATTTTAATGTATACAGGAATTCGAGGAGGGGGCCATCAGGCCGCTCTAGGCTGGGGCACCAAGGGTTTCTTCTCACAGCCCGGGGCAGCCCGAGGGCTGAGGAGCCCAGAGGGCTGAGTCCGCAGGCACTTGTGACATGGGTGTGGCCTGCAGAACTGGACAGCAAGGGCACCCACATGGTGCCAGTTCTTATCAGGGGCATGATTGAGCTATTGCTTGTTCCCATTTGCCAGGAAAGAAAACAAGGCTTGAAGTGGTTAGCCCTGATGTTTCCGGCCATGTTACCTCTCAAGTAAAACGGAGACAGCACACATGTCACGAATGCCATGTGTTCCTGAGGTTTGGCTCCATGGGCTCTGAGGAAGCCCTGCTCCGTGGGTGCGCTCCTCATAGAGGCTGCAGACGGCCCTGTGAGTGGGCATGGGAGGTGGGTATGCAGGTGAGGACCAAGCCGCAGCTTTTGACATTTTACAAAAGCTGTTACCTCATACCCTACTCTTGGCTTGACTGTTCACCACTGAAAAAGAGAAGCCAGACTGAAAACCAAATTGATGGACCATGGCCAGGTCTGCCCAGCAGGAAGCCAGGCAGGACTCACCTGGAGAAACAGAAACTCTCTATGTTCTCTTCACGACTTCTCTGTAAATATAAAACTCCCCAGAAACAAAGCTTGCGGGATGCTTGCCAGATGGCTCTGTGGGTGATGCCTTGCCTCTCAAGCCTGGCGGCCTGAGTTTGGTCCCCGGAACCCGAGTAAAGTGGAGGCAGAGAACTGAACTTCACAGAACATCCTCTAACCTCCACACTGGCATTGTGGCGGCCACTCACCCTAATACAAAACCAGAGAGAGAGAGAGAGAGAGAGAGAGAGAGAGAGAATCCACCCACGATCTCCATGTAAAGACCGGGTAGCTCTCTGACATATCTCTTCAAGTAGCAGTTCTCCTGGGAGCCTCCAGTGCTGGCAGTGAGTTAGAACTAGTTCCCGTCCAGGAAGGCCACTTCCTCCGCAGGCTGGACTAGAAAGAAACGCTGATGTGGCCCCAGGTTGAGCATCTGCAACAAGGATACCCAACAGGCAAGATCAGTTTGCCAGGAAGTGGAAGAGATGGAGTGCACTCAGCTTGCCCAGAACATAAAGCTTGAATCTCTGCCAAGAAAATGAAGGCACACTTATTTCCGCCTGGTTTATAGGTCAGAATATTCCGGGCTCCACCCCCAGGGATACAGTTTATTACAACACCTTAGGATACTACCTGCTTGAGAAACCCAGGACTCCCAAGTTTTCAGACTCAGACCAGAGCACGGCAGAGTGTGGCTGCACTCCAAAGAGCGTGTGTCCTTTCTGTCGTGATGTACCCGTACAGGGCCCAGCTTGTTGGACTTGTACCCACGACACCAGCAGGGTGGGGACAGGTCAGACCCATCTCAGGGCCGTGCTCACCAGGTGCCCTTAGACCACCGCACGTGTAATGTTCTCTACGGGCCACTGGGCAGGAAGGCAAGGGCAAACTAAGTGCCGACCTAGAACAACTGTCAAGGAAATAAAGGGGCACAACAGCACCAGGGAGGTGACTCCGTGAGTGAGGTCCCGGCTTCCATGACCAGCAGGGGAGAAAGAAAGTGAAGGGGACATGGAGACTTATTTTTTTTAAATATTTATTTATTATATATTATGTATACAATATTCTTTCTGTGTGTATGCTTGCTGGCCAGAAGAGGGCACCACCAGACCTCATTACAGATGGTTGTGAGCCACCATGTGGTTGCTGGGAATTGAACTCAGGACCTTTGGAAGAGCAGGTAATGTTCTTAACCACTGAGCCATCTCTCCAGTCCCCAGTGAAGGGGACAGAAAGGAGATGGAGCCTACATCAAATAGATGGGGGCGTGCAATATAAACACTCGAGCAGACTGGACACACACATGGCAACCAAAGCCTGCTTCCCCATGCCCTGTCTTCTTTCTCTGGTCCCCTTGCTTCCCCTTCAGGTCACAACTCTCCAACTAAAACCCCACTTTAGTCACAGGAATTAGTCCACAGGGCCCTTGGTGCTTTGAAAGTACATCCCCAGGAGCTTACTCCGACTGCCCTCATTGGTTTGAGAGCACATGTCTGTGGGCTTAGCCTAGCTGTCCCGGTGCTTTAAAAGCACTTTCTCCAGAGTAGAAGAGTTTGAACACTTGTTCCCCCCATAAGCATCCTTGAAGCTTTCCCAGCCGTCTGTTTCAAGACTTCCCCTCACTGGGACACACACACATCTACACACAGTGACCAAGCATCCTGCATTCTCTGGGATTGCCACACTAGAAGTCTGCATTCCAGGAAACCCCTGAGGCCCAGGCAAAGAGAGGCTCTGACTTGCAGGCTCCCAACCCTGTCCCAGGGGAGTGGTGCTGGTCAGGGACCTGTGAGCAGGCAGAGAAGGCTGACAATCACCTGGATCCACCTCTGCCCTTTCTGGGGCTTGAGTATGCTTTGCTCCCCCTGGGGAGTTGACTGAACTCTAGGTACGAAGTGTCATTAGTGGGTGGAAATTTAATCCAGTGTTTGCTGGGGGCAGTGACGGTTTGGGTGATGACCAAGATTAGTGAGGCAATCAAGGTGGACAGACTGACCAGAGGTCATGTGTTTATGCACAGGCTTGCATATGAGCCGCGCGCGCACACACACATACACACACACACACACACACACACACACACACATACACACCCCTCTTTTTTTTCCCCAGACGATTCCCTGCCCTTTCTCAGAACTCTGGAAGCAAGGCAGCAATCAATCACCAGCTGATGATCTTTAACCTATCAGAACTGTGAGCCCAAACAACCCTTTCCTTTTAAGACTCACCCCGGCTCCATTTGGCTCTCGGTTTCCAGATAGAGTCTTGTTGCACGTTGTCCAGGCTGGCCTTGAAGTCAGGCTCCTCCCATCTCAACCAAGAGAAGCTGGGACGTCAGGAGCACACACCACAGCAGTCTGTTGTTCTTAGGATCTTGGGCTGGACCAAGGACCCAAATTGACGCCAAGCAGATCAGCAGGAGAAATACGTGTATCAATCCATGTGCGGGGTGTGTGGGTGGGGGGGGACTGGAACGATGGCAGCTGAGCAGTCAGGAGCACTCGCTGCTCCTGCAGAGAACCTGGATTTGGTTCTCAGCACCTGTGTGGTGGCTGAGATTGTTTGGATGCAATCAAAACATTTATAGACACAAAATAAAATATACATTTTTAAATGCATGGAGATCCTTAAAAATGAGCGAAGACCAGAAAAACAGTCAGACAGAGAGGCCTTTATTGGTCCCACCACAGATGGCAAACTGTGTTAGGAAGCCATATGAAGGACTGGAGAAATGGCTCGGCGTGTAAGAGCGCACCGTGCCCTTCCAGAGGACTATGAGTTCTCTTCCCAGCATTAACAGCAGGAAGTTCACGACTGCCTCTAACTCCAGTGCCAAGGGGTCTGGCATCCTTCTCCGGCCTCCACAGGTGCTCACACATGTGGCAGGCCTTCATGAGCAGACATACACAGAAATAAAAATAAATCCCAACCACAGGAGAAGGAACAGGACAACAGAGTCCAAGCTAGGGCCAGCACTTCCCGCAGGGATCCTGGGGGCAGAGTGGAGGGCATGATTGGGTGTGAGGCTCCGGTACTGCTCACTAGCTGCGGCTCCAGCAGTGAGCTTCCCGCAGGGATAGCCATGGCTCCTTACCTGCAGAAAGAACAGACCAGCCTGAGATGGCCAACATCTAGAGCTGCCATATTTGAGGCCAGATGGTACTTCCCTCCTTCCGCAGTGCCAATATTCCCGGGCCCCTGTCAGAAATGCAGCTCAGGCCTGCTCTGGCCGTCCTCCACCAAAGTCTGGCCCTCAGCATGGTCCTGAGGAATCCCCTGCCAGTCTGTCACTCTGGTGGTGTGGCTTCCTGCCAAGCTACCCAATGTGGACACCATCTTCTCTTGAGACACGCTTCTAAGGGAGTTAGTTTCTCCTTCAGCGTGGCCTTGTAATGCCCTGCCTGCCTTGGGACTCTGCCAGCGAGGAGGCTGCCACCAGAGACAGCTCCTTCAGCTTGGCCCAAAACTGTGAGTCAAAACAAACCTCCTTTCTTTAAAGCTCGCCCCTCTTTAACACTTGGCGTTTGGGAAAGGCCAACTGGAAGTTGTCCCAGCTGTGAGCAGATGCCAGCCTCGGTTGTAGGGAAGGCTCTGGGGGCAGTGGGTTTGTAGAGCACCAGACAGTGTGGCCACACAGCCCTTCCTCGCTGAGAGTACCAGGAAAGCATCTTAGTTAAGAGCATTAGACACACCTTAAACCCGCTCAGAGCTGCATGCTAAAGAGACAAAGGGTTAGCAGGTGCCGGCAGCTGCAGCATTATTGTCAAGAAATTATTTTTGCCAGGCAGCGGTGGCACACGCCTTTAATCCCAGCACTCAGGAGGCAGGGGCAGACAGATCTCTGAGCTCGAGGCCAGCCTGGTCTACAGAGTGAGTCCCAGGACAGCCAGGGTTACACAAAGAGACCCATGAGCCCCACCTCCCCACCAAAGCAGTTATTTTCAACAGCTCACCTCCACTCCGGTGATACCCTGATGCTTAGATAAGGTGGGGAACGCCTGGTCTATGTCAGCCACCTCCTCATTTGGGGCCAATGGTGATGTCTGGGATTCTGTAATTTGGGGTGGCCCCCTTAGATGGGTCTAATGAATATCCAGGAACAAGACCACCAATAGAGGAGAGGACCTTGTGACCCTGATCAGCTCAACTAGTTTTCTGTGTACTCACATGGGGGTGCCTGCATCTTCCAGGCACTGAAGGAGGAGACTAGAAATAGTTCAGGAATCTTTAGTGGGCTGACAGACTCTGTGTGTGTGTGTGTGTGTGTGTGTGTGTGTGTGTGTGTGTGTGTGTGTGTGAGAGAGAGAGAGAGAGAGAGAGAGAGAGAGAGAGAGAGAGAGAGAGAG